CTCCCCCCCTCGCCCCGCCCGCGATGCTCGCGCCTGGTCAACTCCGTCCGCTCGGCATCAGCGGGGAAACGGGAGGCAGCTCAAACGGCGTTGGTGCCCGCTGCCCGAGGCCCCTGAGACTCCCGCAGACGTGTCCTACCTGGCTGGATGTCCGCAGGCTCCGCAGCTTCGGCGACGGTGTCTAGCACCGGCAGAGCCCGGGACACTCGGCGAGGGGCCGGCGCTAGGACCCAGCAAGAGGGAGGTTAGGGGCGGGGCCGGCGGCCAGACGGCGGAAGTGGAAGGGCGCCTTCCTTGCTCAAGAGGAAGGAAAAACTTACGGAAGCAACCCCGAGCCTCCAGTAGCAGAGAAGTATCTTGCGAAGGGTCTCTGGGTGCTAAGGGGACGGGACGCCGGGCCGATCGACGGTGTACACCCGCCAGGTCGCCGGAGGTGTCTCCAGAGCTAGGTGGGAAGATGCGGAGAGCACTCAGGTTTTGTGGCGCCCGAGTCCGTTCGTAGTCCACATTTTCTGTGACAACGAGCCGTGAACTTAGCGAGGGTCCCCACCCCCACGCCCGTCTTGGGAAGAGTCTTTTATGGAACCTCGTGGAAAGTGTCACAAAAGTACTGTAGCCGGGGCTGCAGAGTGTTTGCTTATTTTTTACTGCTGTGCTTACTGAACAAGCACTGGAACGATTTTAGCAGCTCGGGACGGAAGTGTGGCTTAAGCCCATCCGAACGCCGCGCTGACCTGCGTGGGCGGAGCCAGAGTTGCGCCCACAGTCGAGCGGGGTAGCTCACGCCGCCTGTAATCCCGACATTCCAGAGGTCGAGGCAGGAGGATTTCTGCGAGTTCGAGGCCGGCCTGGGCTGCATAGCTAGACCCAGTCTCAAAAGCAACAAAAACGAAACAGAGTTGGGCCCACCCGGAACATAGCGCCGGAAGCGTGTCCGTGTAGAAACACTGCTCGGAGAGACAGGAAGTGTTCCTAGGCGGAAGTTTCTGGGGGAAGCTTTAGCACCTAGGACACTTCCTGATTCCTACTAACAATAGGAAGTGTCCGCGGAACTGGGGTAGACTCTTGGCTCACACCTGCCGTGCCCTGTTACCTCTATCTCCTCCTTCCCCCCCTTCTTTCCCTCATCTACCACTCCCGGGAACCCTGGCTGGGTGTGCCTGTGTATGCGAGCTCGAGAGCCCTCGCACCAGCAACCACTTAGGGCTCGCGGCTGCAGTTAGGGTAAGGGTCCCAGTGCGCAGGCGCGCTCCCGTTCACGACCTCCAACGGACGCGCCGGCGGCGGGAACCAGAAGGCACTCCTGGTGCGAGGTAGGGAATCTAGGGAGGAAATTGGCAGAAAAGACGAATGACTGTAGAGAACCATGATGGTGCTTGATTAGGGAAAGGGACTCTTAAGTTTTGAGAAAAGAGAATTCTGGGAACAGACTCAGCTGGTGAGATTAGAAATAGTTATTTTAGGGTCCCAGGAGACTGGAGTCAGCCTCGGAGAAAGTCAAGATGAAGTGACCGAAATGAGTGGCAGCTACTGGGGAAACGAGAGCTTTGGAATGAAGATTGCCTCTTGCAGTGAGTTTATGTGAAAACTGGGGAAATACAGGCATTAGATTTAGTGGCATAAATAATACACTCACAAGGCGGGCATGGTGGCCCTTGGGAAGGTAGAGCTATATGGTGAGACCATGTCTGAAATGCCTCCCTCCCCAAATCAGACTACACTTAAAAGCAGTGCCTGGCACATGGTTACAGTGCTGCCTGAGTTGCTGTCATCTTAAGACTGCAGAGAGGAAGTAGAAGAGAAAATAAAAAAAAGATGGTGACAGCAAGGTAAAGCAGGCAGAGAATAGAGCAAAAAAAGCAGAGGATAAAATGAAATTGCAACCTGAGATGGGATCACATGTATTTAAAGCAAGTAAGTTAAACAGATGCTCAAAAACATTAGGAAAGAATGTGATGCAGAGAAAAACTGAGCGCCCTTTCTCTGAAAGGGTCTCCAACGTCTAGGAAGCCTTAGGTGGCAGCTGAAGAAAGTTGCTGCTTTGTCAGTGCTTTCAGAGCATTCAGTTTAGCTGAGGAGTGAAGAAAGAATTGGACTTCTCTTATTGCAAGGCCTGATCAGCTGTTGTGGCTCTCACCTGTAATCTGAGCTCTCAGGAGACTAAGGTAGGGAACTCCATGAATTTGAAGCTAGCCTGGGCTACATAGGGAGTTCCAGAGCAGCTTGAGCTGCAGAGGGAGGTAAGACCTTATCTCAAAACACCACCACCTCCACCAGAGCCAGAAATAGTTCTGGTTTATTGTTAAAAGCTCATAGATTCTTGTTAGTTTGTCCCAGAATTATAGAGAGCAGAGACATAGGAACAGTAATATCCATTATGTACTGTCTAAACAAAATTAGTTAGGTCTGTCTAGAGCCTAGACTCTAGACTTTAGTTTCCTTATCTCTGGCTCTAGAGATGACTTATGCCTAGGGGAACTTTTCTAGAAGTTTGTGCATAGTAAAGCTTTAAGAGATGGTACCTCCAGACCTAATAAAAAGCAGGTCACTTGGCATGGATGGTGGGGAAACCTCTCAGTGACTTCTAGTGAATGTGGTGCTCACATATCCAAGAAGCAAAACTGATTGAGTCCTTCCTTCTGACTGCCGCCCCTTCTTTCCAGGCCTTGGCCCTTCTGCAGAGAAAGATGCCGCTGCCACCTGTCTGTTCCTCCTGAGCCTCTAGGTTTTTCTACTGCATTGATGTATGGCAGACATGCCCCTTTCATTCAGTTGCTCTGACTGTCAGCGCCACTTTCCTAACCTCCCAGAACTGTCTCGGCATCGAGAACTGCTCCATCCATCTGCTAACCAGGACAGTGAGGAGGCTGACGGTTCCCCCCACCCCTTTCGAAGTCAGCAGTGTGGGCGTGGCTACCATCACCCAGGGACCTCTGTCAACCACCAACAGAACCTCGAAACTGGTCTTTTCCCCTGTACCACCTGTGGCAAGGATTTTACTAATCCCTTGGCCCTCCAGAGCCACATGAGGACTCATGCTCTTGAGGGACACCAAAGGCACAGGCCCCCACATGCCAAGGAAACCACTTCACACGGTCACATCGAGACAATGTCTACTGAATCCTGGGGTCAGAGACTTGATTCTAGGGAAGGCTGGGAAAGTCAGACAAAGCATGTACAAGAGACAGGTGAATGTGACTCTGAAGCTGATCCCAGGGCAGTTCCAGGTACTTGGGAAGATCCACCGACCAAATCAAGAGAAGGCTTAGAAATCCAGCCAGATCCTAAAGAAAGTGCAGAGGACTGGGTACCCGCCACCAATTCTGATGGAGCACCACCACTCCCCACTCCAGCCAGCAACCTGCTTAGCAATTTGGAACAGTATTTGGCTGAATCAGTAGTGAACTTCACAGGGGGCCAGGAATCCACTGAGCCACTTGCTGCTGAGGAGGAACGAAAATACAAGTGCAATCAATGTGGAAAGACCTATAAGCATGCTGGGAGCCTCACCAACCACCGCCAGAGCCACACTCTGGGCATCTACCCTTGTGCCATCTGTTTTAAGGAGTTTTCTAACCTCATGGCTCTGAAGAACCACTCACGACTCCACGCTCAGTATCGACCTTACCACTGTCCCCACTGCCCTCGTGCCTTCCGGCTCCCTCGGGATCTACTGGAACATCAGCAGTCCCACGAGGGGGAAAAGCAGGAACAGCCATGGGAAGAGAGAGAGATGCTTACCACAAATGGACATACGGATGAGAGGAGCTGGAATCAGCTACCCAAAACACCGATACTGAATGGCTCTGGGGAGCTCAGCACTTCTGGGCAGCTAGAGGATGGTAGCCCAGAGGAGTATCGACCTTTTTGTTGTGGGGACTGTGGTCGTACTTACCGTCATGCAGGTAGTCTCATCAACCATCGAAAGAGCCACCAAACAGGTATCTATCCCTGTTCAGTTTGTTCCAAGCAGCTGTTCAATGCAGCTGCTCTGAAAAACCATGTTCGTGCTCATCATAGACCCCGGCAAGGGACTGGGGAAGAAGTGTCCTCAACTGCCCATATGTTGGCAGAGACTACCAAAAAAGAGGAAGAGGTCCCCGAGAGCAACCTTGACCATCGTCCCTATAAGTGCAATGAGTGTGGTCGGGCTTACCGCCACAGGGGGAGTCTGGTGAACCACCGCCACAGCCATCGGACAGGAGAATACCAGTGTTCACTCTGTCCTCGAAAATACCCTAACCTTATGGCTCTGCGCAACCATGTGCGTGTACATTGCAAGGCTACACGCCGAAGTGCAGACCCAGGGACTGAGGGTTCACCTAGCCCTGTCAAGAAGGAACAACCTGACCCAGTGGGAACAGAAGCAGCATTCCACACAGATCAAGGGCATGTATACAAACATGAAGAAGAGGCCACAGCAGATAGGACAACACAACAGATATGTAACATTTGTGGTATGCTCTTTGAAGATCTCAAGAGTCTTGAACATCATGGCATGACGCACAAGGCAGGGGAAGGAGAAAAGAGCAGGACAGACAGCAACGTGTCACCACCTAGAGCATTTGCTTGTCGAGACTGTGGAAAGAGCTATCGCCACTCAGGCAGCCTTATCAACCACAGGCAGACCCACCAGACAGGAGACTTCAGCTGTGGGACCTGTGCCAAGCATTTCCATACCATGGCTGCCATGAAGAGCCATTTACGACGTCATAGTCGGCAGTGGAACAGGAGGCACCAGAAACAAGATAGTACTGGTGAAGAAGAGTCCAAACTCGCACCTGCGGGTACCTGGACCCAGAAGCTGGAAAATGATGAAGACCTGGATTCTTCCCAAGACCCTTTGGGAGAAAGTCCTTGTGGGGCTGAAGACAACCTGGAAAGGGATGGGGACTGTTTGCAGGTGGGATCTAAAGGCAGCGAATATGGGCTTGGAAGGGATGAAGCCTGTTTCCTGGGTGCTAAAGAAGACACTGGCACTGAGGAAGGACTAGAAAAGAAAGAGGCCTGTTTCCTTGATCACTTAGACATTCCAGGTGATGAGGAAAGCAGTAAAGCTGGCTTCTATGATAGTCTCCCTGGGGTGGATAGTGACCAGAAGCCAGGCATTTGCCAGTTTGACTCCTCCCACCCTGCTGACACTGACACTGTCTGGAAGGCTGAAGTCACTCACACATGTTCTGATTGTGGGGAATCTTTCCCCCATGCTGCTGGCCTGCTGAGCCATAGGTCCTGCCACCCTCCAGGCATCTATCAATGCTCTCTCTGTCCAAAGGAGTTTGATTCTCTGCCTGCCCTGCGTAGTCACTTCCAGAACCACAGGCCAGGGGAGGTAGCCTCAGCACAGCCCTTCCTCTGTTGTCTGTGTGGTATGATCTTTCCTGGGAGGACTGACTACAGGCATCACCTGCGCCAGGCTCACGGCACTTCTGGCATACCTGAGGGCTCAGAAGAAGAGGAGGAAGGCACAGCAGAAGCAGCCTCTACCCATAGTCCTCCCCTACAGCTTTCAGAAGCAGAGCTGCTGAATCAGCTACAGCGGGAGGTGGAAGCTCTAGATGGAGCAGGTTATGGGCACATTTGTGGCTGCTGTGGTCAGACCTATGATGACCTGGGGAGCCTGGCGCGTCATCACCAAAGTCAAAGTTCCAGTAATACAACAGAGACTGTTCCTAGCCACTTAGAAGGATCAGTTGATTCGATAGAAATAGTTACAGATCATGTCTTTGAGGGCACAGTGACTTCTGTCTCAGAAGAGGGTAAGGACACTAAGTCTGAGGAGGGAGTAGATGGCACAGTTGCAGACAGCCTTTGCATGCAGGCTGGTGAAAGCTTTCTGGAGTCCCACCCCCGCCCTTTCCGATGTAACCAGTGTGGCAAGACTTATCGTCATGGAGGCAGCCTGGTTAACCACCGGAAGATCCATCAGACAGGTGACTTCATCTGCCCTGTCTGTTCTCGCTGCTACCCCAACCTGGCTGCCTACCGGAATCATCTGCGGAACCACCCTCGCTGCAAAGGTTCAGAGCCCCAAGTGGGTCCTATCTCAGAGGCAGGAGGCAGCAACGAACCCCAGAATGTGGCAGAGGCAGGGCAGGAACAGGCATTAATAGGGCAGCTCCAGGAAGAATTTAAAGTGGAGCCCTTTGAGGAGCCGGCAAGGGTGAAAGAAGAAGTGTGGGAGGAGACCACTGTAAAGGAGGAGGAACTGGAGCACAGGTTGGAGACAGCAGAGAAAGGCTGTCAAACTGAAGTCAGCTCTGAGCGGCCCTTTAGCTGTGAAGTATGTGGCCGTACCTACAAGCATGCTGGCAGCCTCATCAATCACCGGCAGAGCCACCAGACTGGCCACTTTGGCTGCCAGGCCTGCTCCAAGGGCTTTTCAAACCTCATGTCCCTTAAGAACCACCGGCGCATCCATGCAGACCCTCGGCGTTTCCGCTGCAGTGAATGTGGGAAGGCCTTTCGCCTGCGGAAGCAGCTGGCCAACCACCAGCGGGTCCATACTGAGCGACGGAGGGGTAAGGGCACCCAGAAGCTTATTCGTGAGGATCGGCCTTTCAGGTGTGGGCAATGTGGCCGGAACTACCGCCATGCTGGCAGCCTCCTGAACCATCAGTGCATCCATGAGACAGGCCAATACAGCTGCCCCTTCTGTTTTAAGACATATTCCAACCGCACAGCCCTGAAAGACCACCAGAGGCTGCACTCTGATAGTCGGCGGCGGCGGGCGTCCCGGAGGGCAGCAGCTGTGCGTTGTACCCTTTGTGGCTGTGGCTTTCCTGGCCAGGGGTCCCTGGAGCAGCATCTGCAGGAGCATGAGGAGGGCAAACTGGAGCTGGCCCGCAGCCAGGGAGGCCCACATGATACGGAAGGCAGTAAGGAAAACCTTGCTGATGACTGGGGCCTGGAGGCCAGGTCAGAAGGTCTTCAGTCAGTCCTGCAGCTGGAGCATGGAACCCAGAGGCCTAGGGAGCACATTCAGAGTCCCAGCAGGCCAGCAGGTTCAGAAGTCACAGAATCTTTCTCTTGGGAAATAGGGAAGGTAGATGGGTGTCAAGGAGACAGGGGACAAATGAATCACAATGGTGCCTGGGGTCTTCAGGACCAGTTAACCAAACCAGAAGGCAAGTTGGAAGACCTCTCTGAGAGCCAGTCCAGCGGTCCTGCTGCAAGTTATATGGATAGCTGGGATGATGGAGACAGCAGCTCTCAGCTCCAACCAGAGAGCCGCCCTTATTGCTGTAGTCAGTGTGGAAAGACCTACTGCCAACCTGATGGCCTCTTGAATCCCGACATTAACAAGAAAGACTGTCACAGTTGTTTGCGCTGTTCCAAAGAGCTATTGAGTGCTGTGACCACTACAGTCCACAACCACACTGCTGCCCAGATCTTTGCTTGTAGTAACTGTAGCAAAGTGTTTGAGTCCCACATTGAGCTGGCCACACACATGCAGACTCATGCTGTTGACCATAATCAGGCGCCAAGTCAGACAGAGGAGACCAGAGATCCACAAGCTGGGATGGTAGAGGTGGATCCCCCTGGTCCAGGGAAAGCTCAGGAGGCCCCATCCAAACCTCCTAGAGACCCAGAAGAGAATGGGGAGCCAGCTGATGTAGGACAAGGAGCAAATTTGACAGCAGCTGAAGACAAGGAACGTCCCTTTTGCTGTGCTCAGTGTGGGCGCTCTTACCGCCATGCTGGTAGCCTGTTGAACCACCAGAAGGCTCATACCACTGGACTCTACCCCTGCTCCCTGTGTCCCAAACTTCTGCCCAACCTACTATCTCTCAAGAATCACAGCAGAACCCACACAGACCCCAAGCGCTACAGCTGCAACATCTGTGGTAAGGCTTTCCGAACAGCTGCCCGGCTACAGGGCCATGGCCGGGTCCATGCTCCCCAGGAGGGACCATTCACCTGTTCTCATTGTCCCCGCCATTTTCGCCACCAAACGAGCTTCCTGCAGCACCAGCAGCAGCACCAGGAGGAGTGGACCATGTCTAGCTCAGGTATGTGAGGTGAGTGGGTTGGGTAGAGGACCCAGAAAGAGGCTGGCACATGGTAGAAAGCACCCCTGCCCCTGAGGAGGTAAGGGAAGCAAGGAGAATCAAGTGGATTTCTGAGTGGTTGGAGGCCTGGACATGTACTAACTAGTTTGAAATGGTTTTGAGCCACTGAAGTATAAATCCCGGGTCAGGAAGATGGACACTATGGTGGGTGGGCAGTACTTTTTCTTTCAGTGGGCAGAGATATCTGGAAACTACCACATCTGGGAATCCTGGTGTAGCCAGTAATGACTTCCAGAGAAAAAAGACAAAATGGGCCTTGTTGGGTTCTGGTCTTTCCTAGAGTGAACAAGAAGCCTAAGAATGAGTAAGGGGGTGGTGGAGGGTTGTCATGAGGGTGGATAGGGAATAGCCTGCGGGGCTGAGGCAAAGGTGGGTCTGCCTGCTCGGCTGGTGACTCCTAACTGGCTTCGTTACTGCTGACTTGGCCAGTTTGCTGGGTTACTGGTTAGTGCTGGCTCTCTGTCTCTCTTTCCCTGTAGTCTGTCTCTGCCTCTCTTTCTTGGACCTTCTGTGAGTGCTGCACTGTATCTTTTTGTTCTTCCTTTTAGTTAACCTTTGCCTTCTGCTGCTACAGATCGATCCTACAGTAACTAATCAAACTGCCTTCTCAGCCAGCACCTTCCCCCCCAGCACAGCCCTTTAACTGAAGGACTGACTCATAGATAATTGTTTCTTTGAAGACAGGCCCAGTCGAGCAGCAGCACTCATTAGTCTATCTCTCATCTCTATCACAGTGAATCTGGGGGTAAACTGGTCTCCACCCCAGCCCATTGAAGGGCAAGTCTGTGGAGGCATGGGGCAGTCTGTGTACTCAGCAAGCCTTAAGCTCATATTCCACATTTAGGGAGGAAAATCTATTCCATCTGTAGCCACCAAGGGAGGGTGTCCCTGAAATGGTATGCCCTTGACCAGAGCTTGTCTGAGAAGGACAAAAATACAGTGGTGATGGTTCCTGAGAACTGAAGAAATGGCTCTCAGGACAAAGGGTTTCTTGTCATTTCAAGTAGAATGAGTGAGGAGCCTATTAGCCAAGACTGTAAAAATAAATAGGGGTTCTAGGATTCCTGGGCTTGGTCTTTTTGTTGAGGGGGCGATACTGGGCATGGTACTTAAAGCCTTATACACGGTAGGTGAACACATTAACAGTGAGCGGTTTGTCCTGGCCACTTGCACTTCTCTGTCTCTGAGGCTCATGTCAGGGAATGACCTGTAGGTCTGGAGAGGTGGTTTAGGCCTCACTCAGTGACCGCTGTTCCTTCTCTCCCTAGGAGCTTCAGTGGCATCAGTAACAAGCAGAGGGGATTCCTCTACAGCCTCTCTCTTGGACCCCTCACCCCAGTGGCCTGCAGACCTCAACTTCTCTGTTTGAACTTCAGAACTTCAGGTCTCCAAAGAACAGTTCACTGAAGCTGGGGATGCAGGCAGGCAGGAGAGAGAGAGAGAGAGTCTTCATCTCCACAGTTTGCTCAGGAGTTGCTTGAGCATCCTCATCTCTTCCCATGAAGAGGACCCTGATCTGGTTTCTTTGTCAAGAAGGACATGATGTAGTCTTCGTGTCTGTATCCATGAAGGATCTCCTTCCCAAGCTTTTGTCACCGTGTTCTTCCAGGGCCAGGCTCTGCCACAGTGCTGGGATAGGCAGATTCTAACCCAGGGAGAGGCATATTCAAAGCATACCACAGGTGGGAAGGTTGCCTGTGGAAGGGGAGCCTTTTACTATAGTTTGTAACTTATTTTCTAAAATCTATTTTGTAACAATTTATTTAAGTTTTAAAAAAGGAAAATTGCTCCCCTCCCCCCAAAAAAACCCCTTTTTTTTTTTTTTTTTTTTCACAACAGCTGTTGGTGTGGTTGTATCTGAAGAATTGTTTAGGGACACTGGAGACATCTCTGTTGGGAAGCAGAGCTTGGGGGTGGGGTTATGGCCCTCATGGAAAGCTTCCCCGGGCAGGCTCACTCCCAGCCAGACAGCTGTTGGACCTGCCTCAGGACTGGGAACCACAGGACAGGACAGGGAAGGGCAGGAGCAAAGCGTAGCATTGGGTGCTGACGTGGGAGTTGCCTGGCTTTTCTGGCATCTTGTGAGTAAACTAGAGTCACCAGTCAACAACTGACTGGCTGGCCTGTCAAGGAGAGGAGGGAAGTTAATTTGGCCCCATCCCTATAGCTCTCTTAGTACCCTTGAAGAAGCAAGATCCATCATCTTTGCCCCTGTGGTGTATGGGAGACCTGAAGACCAAGAAGCTGAGACCCCTGCTGCCTAAAGTCCATGTGGGTCTGTCTGTTGCTGTACTCCACACCCTGGACAGCTAGAGATGAGTCATAATAGTGTTTTCCCTAGATGGGAGCCAGGGCTGGAGAGGAAGAGTGAATAGCGACACATACTTGAGTTGACCAGACAGCTTCCAGGCTCAGCCTCGGGCTCTGGCTTCTCAGCGAAATAGACCTGCCAGTCTAGATTGCTGACCCAGTCCTCATAAGCAGAGAGTGCTGCGAAGACTGCAGGCCTGGAAGGTCCTTGGCAGGTGTCTCCAAAGCTGTGCAGTCCAGCCAGGAACCATGTACCCCTGACCTCATGGATGAGTGGTGCCCCAGATAGGCCCTGTTAGAGAGAAGGTTATACTTGGTAACTTCCTGCACCATTTGGGAGGAGCTTGGGGGCTATAGGCCGGGTGTTTGGGGGCAGCTGGTACCAGGGTTTAGTTTCAGGTGAGAAAGCAGGGCTAGCAGCCAAGCTTGATAGAAAGGTATGAGAATGCCAGGGGTCTGCTGGGTTAGGGTCAGGAATTCGAACTCACCACACATTGAGGCAGCTCACCCACAACAGTGGTGCATACCATCCCTGGCAGAATGGGAATGCCTGTGCTCCCAGGGGCTGCATGCTGTCGGCTACAGGCCATTTGCCCCAGGACTGTCACAGGTACTGTCTGGAGGTAGCTGTTGCCTATAAAAAGCAAAGGATGAGGCTAGATGCCTCAGTTGCCTGCAAGTCCAATGGCCAACTGCCAGGGTCCCCATTACTATGTACCTGCTCCTTGAGTCAGCCCCAGAACCCAGCCATGTTCACCATCAGGCAGCTGGTGGTCAGCATAGGGCAAGCAAAGGGGTCTCAGGCCAGGGCCTAATGTCACAGGCTGAGCCAGCAGCAGGAGGGCCACATCATATCCACCCTCTGGGTGGGTGTAGGCTCCATGCAGAATGAGTTGTTTCAGGCCCCGTTCCTCTGGTCCAGTCCCCAGATCTACACTCCATTCCTCTAGGGTTTGGCGACTGTTGAGAGGCAGAGTTGATAGCACTGAGTGACAGAGCTTGGGCAAGGGGCCCAAAGGAGAGAGACGTAAGGCTCACCCAATAAAGCAGTGAGCAGCAGTTAGCACCACCACTTCTGATACCAGGGCTCCACCACAAGCCAGCTTCCCATGGTGCTTCAGCCTGGCATCCCAGGGCCACTGAGACAGGGCTCCTGCCTGCGGGCCTCCAGTCCTCAAGGAGCCACATGCTGAAATAGGTGAATTACATCACCCAGTTTGTTAAATGGTCACTGAGTGCTGAGTGCTTCTGTATGTCAGCAGGTCTTTCCAGTACCCTCTTCTCACTTGACTCTCGAGCTAACTAACCTATAGATTAACCTAGCTCTGTAACCAAAACCAGGTAGCCCACTTGGATTCAGAGCCAATATGCATGCTGATGTCTGACAGTAATCCATGCCAGCCCTACCTGGAAGGTCTCTGCCCCACTCCCCCACCCACCTGCACTTCCCCAAGCCTGGACCAACCCTAAAATTCCTAGCTTGTTCGTGCTGTTATAAGAACCTAGCTTCCTTCCCCGGAATGACTTTGCATGCAATTTGCATTGCAGTCACTGCCCTGTCTCGCCTCCCTGGATTTCTGCCTGGAAACTTGCAGCTTTCCCCCTGAAACCAGCCAGATTTCAGAGACACTCATACCCAAGGCTGTAAATCTTCCTGGCCCCAGAGGGCTGTTTCTATCCCAGGAGCTAAAGGGGGCCTTAACAAACCTAGTTCTCTGTTGGCAGTGTCTAGACTCAGTGTCTGAGCTGGTTTGCTTCCTTGTGGCTTCTACCCACTGCCCAGGAATCCTTCATGTGTCCTGGGTGTCCCCATACATCCCGCTTCCAATACCCACGCTCAGACCTACCTACACAGCTGTTCTCATCACTGCTCTCCACAATTCCTGGGTCTTGTACCAAGAAAGCTGCCCCATGAAGGTGGGCTTGCAGCCATGAACTGTGAGTAGCCATGTCAGTCAGCAGCACAGGAGTGTCCTCTTGGGCACATTTTGATGTGAAGCTAACAATCCCAACCTGGACCCAGTGTCCATCAGGCTCACGACACATCACAGGTCCCCCAGAATCTCCCTGAAAACAAGGCAAAGGGAGTCACTTGAGCCCTGGCCCTGACCAGATGCCTTGTGACTGTAACCCTGTCACCCTTCTCTGTGAGCCCTTAGCCCAAGATTAGGCCCTCCCTTTTCCCCTGTACTCATCAGACCTGGCATGGTCCCTGTACCCCGGGCTGTGCACCCCCACACAACATTCCAGGTCTTGCTGGGCTGGCCAGCAGCCGCTGGTGCAACCGATTGTAGAGACAGTTACAGGTAGGGCGGCTGATGAGACGAAGACGCAGATTCCGTAGGGTCCTGGAAACTGCCAAAGGGGATAAAACTGAGTTTAGCTCTGGGAAGCAATGGGACTTGGGACCTAGTATAGCTGGGCCTGGGCAACAGAGTGCCTCTATAGACTTCTGGCTAGGACAATACTTACCATCACTGGTGTTCTGGTCCCAGCCAGTGGCCCAGCAAGAAGCTCCAAAGGGGAAATGATGGGTGGATTGGGGCAAGCAGAGGGTTGTATGGGCTATGGGATGAGTGAGCTGGAGCAGGGCCAGGTCTGATCCCTGGCTATAGTGATTATATGCCTTGGGCACCTGCAGGGCAGCAACTCCCACCTCCTCAGCCCCCGGGCTCAGCCCTTCTTGCTTCAGAGATCCTAGGACCACAGACCAGGAGCTCAGTTCTGTTGTGGCCACCCTGAAAGGAGAAGGGCAAGGCCCAGACAGCTGAGTGCCAGTGGGAACATGACAACTTAGTGAACAGCACAGGCATGGGAGAGATGAGCAGACACAGCACACAGCTTTCAGCACAGTTCCCGCCTCTCAGTTTCCATTTAGTCCTCTGGGACTTTTTTTTTTTTGAAGACAGGGTTTTTCTGTGTAACTCTGTAGACCAGGCCGGCCTTAAACTCACAGAGACCTGCCTACCTCTGCCTTCTGAGTGCTGGGATTAAAGGTGTGAGCCACCACTGCCAGGCCCATTTACTTCTTTCTGAAGAAAGCATCTACCATGAGAGATTGCTAAAGTTCAGCTGGTAACATGTCAGCTACACAGCATTCTCCATAAATGATACTTCATTATTCTAGAGGTAAAACAGTCTTGTGAGGGAGGTACAGAGACAAACCCACCCTCAAACTGAAAGACTGACCCAAAGTGTGACTCACTTTTCAAAGCAATGAGCAGCTGTGAGGACCCAGGCGTCTGCCACCAAGGAGCCACTGCAGATGTGAACCCCCTGTCGCCTCACACTGGCCTGCCATGGCCATTCACCAGGTAACGTGTTGCCTTCCTGAGGCTCCGGAGGGCCAGGGCCACGCTGCCCACATGCTGTAGAGAAGGGTGAGTCATGCTAACTGCAGACACTGTCCTGACCTCGGGACCACACAATGCCATTCCCCCTCCATTATCCATGAGTACAGCCCAGGTCGCCTGTCCCCACCGCTCACCACGCTGAGCTGCTTGAAGACCTAGAAAGAAAAAGACACAAGATGTGGAGGTGTGCCCAGTGGTGGTGGCGCACACCTTTAATCCCAGCACTCGGTAGGCAGAGGCAGGCGGATCTCTGTGAGTTCGAGACCAGCCCGGTCTACAGAGCTAGTTCCAGGACAGCCTCCAAAGCCACAGAGAAACCCTGTCTCAACACCCCCCCCAAAAAAAAGAGATGTGGAGGTGCCTTAACTGCCAGACCCAGGCTTGGTGGAGGAGATGAGTTGAAGGACAGGCTTGGGTCCTTATCTATGACTGGCTACCTTACCAGCCCCTCCCAGAATGAAAATATTTATATGAGGCTGAAAAGCAGCTTTTATTGGAGCCCATTCAGAGTATGCAGTCATTAATTCTCTCAGCTGTGCTCAGCACTCCTGGGCCCAAGAGGCAAGGCCTGAGATTTACCTTGGGAGCAGGCCAGCCCTCCAGGCTTCTGAACCCCTAACTCCTGCCCCCATCACTGAGTCAGGGAGGTGGCCTGTGTATGTGAAGGACATTAGCTTAATTGTCCCTTCAGCTGTGGAAGCCTAAGAGGGTAGATTAGAGGCTTGTGTCATGTCCAAAGTGAAGGAGGCCCCAAGTGAGACTCACTCCACCCCTGTGCTCATGAATCAAACTACCTTTCTGGAGGCCGACCTTTCCAGAGGGTCCCTGCCCTGCCTGTAACCCATCAGGCTCAACCAAATAGGCCTACTGCACTTCTGAAGCAAAGTTAGTATGCCAGCTCCAAGTGAGTGGGGCCAGAGCATGCTTGAGGTCACTCTGCGTGTAGAGTATCAGATGGGGCAAAATACACACATGTGAGATTGCCATCTACAGACACGGTGATCTCAGCTCCTCCCTAACTCGGGTACAGACTGTAGTATCAAGCACATCGCTTAGCTTTTCTGTACTTCAGTCTCCCCACCAAGATAGGAACCTACCTCAAAGTATCTACTTCAAAGAACTACTGTAAGGATTAAATGTATTGACACAGGTCCTTTCAAAGTGCTGTGACAGCAGGCTGTTACCTCCTCTCACTCCCACAACACCCCCACACATTCACACAACACACCTAGCCAAGAACATCCACAGGGAGACTATAGCCCCTCAGGATCCCTTACATACCAAATTTCAGTCTACTTGAGTGACTTACCCTCTATCATGACCACAGCTCCCACAATAAGCAGCCCGGGTCCCCAGCTCTGCCTCATGCTGCTTCAGGCCACTCAGTGTTCTTGTTCTCAGAGAGGCTACCTGGGTCTCCTTGGCTCCACCCCTGCTCCGCCCCCAATCATCTAAGAGTCAGGTGTTACTTTTCCTGGGCTAGAAGGGAGCCAAGTGGTTGTGTGGTCCTTACCCCTCTCTGGGTTTCTGTAACTCCACTTCTAGGGGATCTGACACCATCTTCTGCCCTCCCAAGTCACCAGGCACATATGTGGTGCATAGACATACATGCAGGCAAAACACTTATATGCACAGAATAATAGTAAAAAATTTTAGCTGGGTGGTGATGGCACATGCCTTTAATCCCAGCACTGGGGAAGCAAAGGCAGGCGGATCTCTGTGAGTTCAAGGCCAGCCTGGTCTACAAGGCGAGTTCCAATCTTGAAAACAAAGACAAAACAACAACAAATAATTAAATTTGTTTCATCAAGTGGACTGGAAGGAATGTCTTTTATTATTGTTTTATCAATTTATTTCAAAGAGAGAGAAACCTGTGAAAATTTGGATCCCAGAGTTTGAACTCACCAAGTAAGTACCTTTACTTAGTGATCCATTTCACCAGGCCCTTAAACAAAAAATAGTTAGGGGGCTAGCATGACACTTGCCACAAGCCAAATGACCTGAGTATGATCCTGGGCCCCAGATGGTGGAAAAAGGGTTCCTGCAAGCTGAACTCTACACACATGTCATGGCATTCAACATGCACTTACACACACACACACACACACACACACACACACACTTTCTCTCTAAAACAAACAAATAAATAAATAAATAAACAATATTTTAAAATGCTTAGGGGCTTGGAGGGTTGGCTCTTTGGTTTCTTCACTGGCTGCTGTTTCTGGAGGACCTGGGTTCCATTTCCAAATCCACACAGCAGCTGACAACCTCCTGTAACTTCAGCTCCAGGGGCTCCAACACTCTCTTCTCCTCTCTTCATGCACCAGGTACATACATATGTGATGTGCAGACACACAAGCAGGCAAATACTCATACACATAAAATCATTTTTTTCTTTTTCTTTTTTGGTTTTGTTTTGTTTTGTTTTGTTTTTTCAAGACAGGATTTCTCTGTGTAGCTTTGGAGCCTATCCTGGCACTCGCTCTGTAGACCAGGCTGGTCTCAAACTCAGAGATCCACCTGCCTCTGCCTTCTGAGTGCTGGGATTAAAGGCGAGTGCCACCACCGCCCAGCTTTTTTAATTCTTAAAAGTCCAGCATTGTGATATACATCTGTAATCCTAGTACCTGGAGGCTGAGGCAGAATTTTGACTTTAAGGTTAGCCTGATTTACCTACTGTGTCCAGGGCCAGCCTGGGCTATAGAGCAAGACCCTGTCTCAAAAACCAATCAACCAATCTCAAAGTGTTGACTTCTGACTGCTAGTCCAGTTACTTCTGCTTCACCTTCGGAGCAGTGGCAGACTCCATCGATTCCCCTTGCAGCTTCCCTGTCTCCCTCAGGCTAAGGCCAGGCAGGTTTCATACACCTCCCTAGGTTTGCTTCAGAGAACATGTACAGGGCTGTGTGTGAAGGGGTGGGTCTCGTGCCAACCTCTCTCTGGCCTGCTGCCTTGTCAGCAAAGTGTTGCTTTCCTTTCTTGCAAATGCTAGGATGGAGGTTAGAACCTTCCAACTCTTCACTTAGGCTAGTTCCACCATTCAGGAACCCTGACCCCAATACAGAGGCAACTGTGAGCGGAGTTTAGAGCAGATGTGAGCCAAGCAGCTCAGATTATGAGACAGGCTACATAACAGCTCAGTGGTAGAGCACTTGGCTAGCATGTGCAAAGCCCTACAATGTGAATTGTGGGATGTGTTGTTAGTCTGAGATTTCCCTCCCCAACTCTTCCCCAGTATTAGACATGTCACCTCAGGCACAGCAGCTTCTCTACCTAACCTGCCTCACTAATAGACAAACAGTAGTAGTGACTATCTCCTACAATCGAGGAATAAATTTACTATCACAGGTTCTTTTTTTTTTTTCCCCCGAGATAGGGTTCTCTGTGGCTTTGGAGGCTGTCCTGGAACTAGCTCTTGTAGACCAGGCTGGTCTCGAACTCACAGAGATCAGCCTGCCTCTGCCTCCCTAGTGTTGGGATTAAATGAGTGTGCCACCACTGCCCGGCTATATCACAGGTTCTTAGACAGTGCTTGGGATGTCAAGTCCTTAGTGTATATTAGGAAAAACAGAAAGAGAATCTTAGCCTGGTCCTATGCAGGTGTTAAGACGGGCTTGGGATGATAGGTGAGGTAGTTGCAGGGGTTCAAGTTGGATTATAGAAGACATTTCCAAGCAGGGCTAGAGAGATGGCTCAGTGGTTAAGAGCACTGGCTGCTCTCCCAGAGAACCTGGGTTTAATTTCCAGCATCCACATGGCAGATCACAATTGCCTGGACCTCCAGTTCCAGAGGAGCCGGCATCCTCTCACAGACATATAGGCAGGCAAAACACCAGTACACATAAAAAAATAAATAAATAAATTTTAAAGAAGTTCCAAGCAAGCTCACCCTCCAGGTGTGTGGCAGGCCCTCCTACAACAGGAGGTCTGATCCGTAGGCAGCAGGCGCTAGCTTGTTTCCTGGATGCGGGGGCCAATGTGCCAGATTTTGCTGACGACACATGCTGGTGATGATGCAGCCACCCTCCCGGACAGGCCCTCCATTCTGACTCATCCCAGTTTCAGAGAAGGCAATAACAGGGAAAGACCAACACCCCAAAGGGTCCCCAGCAGACATACGCTTCAGACTCGACCAACTTAGGAAAATTTATTGTTTAAAACCATTCTCTTTAGCCAAGAGCAGAAAGCAGCCCTTGGGAACAGCACTTAGAGGCACATCTGGTCATTGTCCTGTGTGTGGTTATGGAGGGGGACTGGAATGAAGGGAACAGGGCCTTCTAGGGACCCACACATGACCCTCTTGGGCAAGGCTCATGTGCCAAGGCAAAGCAGGTTACATTAGCTTAGCATGAGGAGGGACCTCAGGGCCTTTTGGCCTTGTGTTCTGGCACCTCCTGGAAATTAAGCAACATCAAGCCCACATTGATGGCATAGGTGGTAATGCAGACAATGCAGAAGTCATAGAGCACAAAGAACAGGATCCAGGCCAGGTAGACAGAACCGGCGAAGGACACCAGGGAACTCAGTACCAGTAGGAGAGAGGCCCAGCGTCCCCTCAAGCAACCTGTAAAACAAGACAGGATCAATAATGGTACATCTAGAACTCTGCCATGCCTCCCCAGTGACAGACGGATGGCACATGCATCTGGTAAAAGTTCTCTAAGATAGGATCTGATGGGCCTTATCTGTTCAATAATCCTTGGGACCCAAACAGTAAGTACTCCTGCTAAAGTCTATATTCGGTGAAATACAAGTCACCTTTGGAGTCCCCTCAAAAAGCATTTTTAAACTGGATGTTTATGCCTATAATCTCAGCACTTGGGAGATGGAGACAGGAGATTCAGCAGTTCAAGGTCAACCTGGAATGCATGAGACCTTGTTTCAAACAAAACCCCAAAAAACAAAAACCAGTTAGGTGTGGTAGAGTACGCATTTAGTACCAGCACTCAGGGAGGCAGAGGCAGGCAAATCTCTGTGAGTTCAAGGCCAGCCTGATCTACAGAGGGAGTTTTAGGACAGCTAGGACTGTTTCACAGAGAAACCCTGTTTCCAAAAAAAAAAAAAAAAAAAAGAAACAAAAACCCAAGAAGCTAGGCATTGTTGGCACATGCCTTTAATCCCAGCACTAGAGAGGCAGAAACAGGCGGATCTCCGTGAGTTCCAGGCAGCCTGGTCTCCAGAGCAAGTTCCAGGACAGGCTCCACAGCTACAGAGAAACTCTGCCTCGAAAAACCAAGCCAAACCAAAACACAAAACCAAATAAAAAGAAAAAAGAATTGAGATGCTGGGAAATCCTGGGGGGGGGGGGCTTTCAGCCTCTGGCTTCCTGAACTAACTAGGATGCTGGTGTCCTCCTGTTTTGTCTCCTTGTGACCAGGTTGCTCAGTGATTAGCAGCTGGCTGTCAACTGTCTGGGTCACCAAGGCATGGGGTGGGGCTGATCTGAATTAGGGAAGACAGGTCATGAAGGGACAAAGCCACTCACCTAACAACAGCTGTATGGTGTAGAAGATGCACCCAAATATGCTGTTGGATTGGTTGAGGACGCTGTCAGATCCTAGCACATGTTCCACCAGCCCAAAGCCCTTGCCCCACCTGGTGGGAGTGAAAGAACCCTGGTTAAGTGTGGTCAGCCTAGTGCCTCTTGGGTTTTATCCTGGAAAATCGATTAGCAACACTCTCCACCCACTAAGAATTCAAAGGTCAGTGACCTAGTATGTCACTGGCTCTATCCTGGCTTGTCATCACAGACCATCTGTAACTTCAGGAGCTGGTGAGATGGCTCAGCAAATAAAAGTGCCTGCTGCCAAGCCTGTCAACTGGGTTGAATCCCCAAGACTCACAAAATAGGAGGGAACCACCTCCGATTTCCACATGCATATAGTGGCAAGCAGTGCCACCCCACAAACTCAAAAATACGGTTTTTTTCTTAATTTTTTCATCTTGATCGTCCTTTATGGTGACCACACTGGGACACCTGGAGCACAATCTATTTGCTTTGGACTTACATGGCTACAGTTCCCTCGCCACCCACTAACATCCGGTCCTCCAGCACAACCAGAGTGAGCCACCTTTGTCCCTGAGCAGAGCGATGCTCCACCACCTCCTCCCGCTTTGTGCCATTGAGGTCTGCCCTGCTTCCTCCAGTTTTCCAATCAGTTATTCACTGGCATCTTCAGAATGCGTTCAAACAGCAGTATCTTCTGAGTGGTCCAGCCTCTGTGCACGTCCGATTACCCACCAAAAACTCCTGGGGCAGTCCACTCTCAAAGTGTCCGTTCTGCGGACACTGCGATCCCAGACTCCAAAATCATCCGGCAACCTGGCCGTCAGGTACACCTGGCCTTCAAGGACCCCATGCTTTCCATTTCCGCACGCACCGAGAGGAGAAGACGCGTGAACAGCTGATGGCCGTGCCCACGTCGCAGAGAGCGCGGTAATCCTCGTCTCGGGCGCGCGCCGCCTTCACGTGCAGCGCGTACAGCGAGAGCGCTAAGCCAGCGAGGCAGAGTGCCAGGCGCCTGCGTCCCGGGCTCCTCCAGGTGGTGCCCATGTTGGCGGCCCAGACCAGGAGCCGGAGGGAAGGACCCGCCACGGGGCGGGGGCGGGGCCTCATATGGCCACGCCCCTCCGCCCCGAAGGTTGACCCGCCTCGGCTGCCATTCTCCTATCCAATTGGTTGTTTTTAGGCACGACAGCTGGGAATGCTGGGCTGGTAAACTGGATTAAGGGACCTGGGGAATTCTTGGTACGGCAGCTGCTAGGCATGATGGGAATCGTAGTCGGAGAGGCTGCAAGACATCAAGGGGAATGGAGTCTCTAGAGTGGTAAAGCTACTATTAATAGAACGGTGCTTAGCGTGTTCTCTATGCCAAGCCCTGTTTTATGCATTTGGCATGTCTAGAGATTAACGGACTAGTGGAATCCAGCGAGAACTGTGATGCGACTCAGGAAGCATTTCCCCTGAAATTGTTTCAGATGCCATTGGGCTGTGACCTGAGCTTCCAGGTAGCCGCCAGCCGTCCCTCGCGCCTCACCAGCGCCCCTTGTGGGCAGAGCGGGCCCTTCCCCTCACAATAAATCCCGTTATCTTGGCCACACTGCTGGAGGTTTCCCAGACCTTGCTACCGTTGTGGTGCCCTCTTGGCAAAACCCGAGCCTGAATCAACGCAACACTTCCTCTGATATTATTTCACCTTTACAGATATTCCACCCTTCCCACTTGCATGGAGTTCCTTCACTAGCTCCCTCTACCTTTCTATCTTACTGTAAGATTTGGGAAGATTTTATATTTCCCGTCTTCCTTATCACATAATAAACTAGCTACCCCAGAACATTCCCCTAACACCTAGTTGCAAGCAGGACCAGGACGTTATGCCCAATGGTTTGACCTCCAAGTGGTATTAATTGCTGCTTTAAAGTACCTATTTCTTCCTTGACAGCTGCCCTCCTCCTTGGCTGCTCCTTCTCACATCTACTACTTTTATTTCAGAGAATGTGCTGGGCACAAACGTCAGTTTCCAAAGATTCTTAGAACTAGTGACTATGTTAGGCTGTAAGACAAAAAGGGAATTAATGCTGCATAGGATCAAAGTGGGCACCCTGGTGTTTCATTTTATTCGTGTTGAGGCCAGCCTGATCTGCAAAATGAGTTCTAGAACAGTCAGGACTGTAAAACAGAGAAATTGTGTCTCGGAAAACAAATACAAAAAGTATTCATTTTATTTTTCGTGTCATAGGATTTTTATTGTTTTAGGATTAGCATAGAGAATAATGGGTTGATTGTGGCATCTCTGTTCATAGATACTTATTCTTCATTATTTTTATTCCCCATTGCTTCTCCCCTTCCCTGTCATGCCTCCCAGATAGTTCCCTTCTTCCCCCAGCTATCCCCCTTCCTCCTTTCCTAGTATATGTATTCTGTTTCCCTCCCTATTTCCCACCTCCCTTATTTAAGATCTCTTCCTTTTATTTTTGTAGATGGGGTCCATGTAGCACTGTCTGTCCTAGAACTCTACATAGACCAGCCTGGCCTTGAACTCAAGAGAGATCAGCCTGCCTCTGCCTCCAGAGTGCTGAGATTAAAGCGATGCACCACTATACCAGCTAGGATCTTTTCTTTTCCTTCTCAAGATCTCATTTTCAGATACAGAGAAACAAGTAAAAATAAATAAATACATACAGGATAAGCTAGGCATGGTGGTAAACTTGGGAGGAAAGGCAGGAAGATCAAGAATTCAAAGTTATCCTCAACACAAACTACATGAATCTCTGCCTCTAAAACTAAATAAGTAAATAAGTCAGAGATACTACCCTGGATTACTGTGTGGGTCCAATAAGAATGAAAGATCACAGGAAAGAGTCACAGGGAAGTGACCACAGAAGGAACAGAGGGAGTCCTAAGTTAATAATGAATGTTAGTAGCTTTGAAAAAACAGGGAAGGGGGACTAGAGAGATGGCTCAGCGGTTAAACGCACTGGCTGCTCTTCCAGAGGACCAAGGTTCAATTCCCAGCACCCACATGGCAGCTCACTACTATCTGTAACACGTGTTCCAGGGAATCTGGTGTTCTCACACAGACATATATGCAGGCAACACACCAATGCACATAAAATAAAAATAAATCTTTAAAAAAAAGAAAAGAAAAACATGGAAGGGCAAGGAAACAGAAATAGCATATCCTTAGTTTCTAGAACAGTATCTCCATACAGCCCTGGCTGACAAAACTTTTCACAATACGCCTACCTCAGCTTCCCAAGGGCTGGGATTACAGACATGTGTCATCATATCTAGCCAGAATTAACTAATTAATGAATTAATCCTGTGCTGTGGGGAGCCAAGAAAGCCTTGAATGAGTGTATAAGGACTTAATGAAATCCTGTGTGAGTGTGTATAAATAAATAAATAAATAAATAAATAAATAAATAAATAAATCTTTAAAAAAAAGAACAGGACAGGCTGGAGAGATGGCTCAGATGTTAAGAGCAGTGGCTGCTCTTCCAGAGGTCCTGAGTTCAATTCCCAGCAACTACATGGCAGGACAGGCTGGAGAGATGGCTCAGATGTTAAGAGCAGTGGCTGCTCTTCCAGAGGTCCTGAGTTCAATTCCCAGCAACTACATGGTGGCTCACAACCATCCGTTATGAGATCTGGTGCCCTCTTCTGGTGTGCAGATATACATGGAAGCAGAATGTTGTATACATAATAAATAAAATCTTAAAAAAAAAACAGGACAGGCTCCAAAGCTACACAGAGAAACCCTGTCTCGAAAAAACAAACAAACAAAAAACAAAAACAAAAAAAGATTAGGGGTCTGGAATAAAACAAGGCCCATAAACATATTTTTGTTGATTTGTTATGTTTTGACTTTATGTGTATGGGTGTTTTGTCTGCATGTATATCTGTGCACTGTGTGTATCCAGTACCCTCAGAGACCAAAAAAGGGTGTCAGATCCTTTTTTGGTTATAGATGAAGTTATATAGATGGTTGTTAATTGCCATGTGAGTGATGGGATTCTCATCAGTAACTGCTGAGCCACCTCTCCAGCCCTGTCAAACAAATATTTTACATGCTGTCTTTCTTCTTCTTCTTCTTCTTCTTCTTCTTCTTCTTCTTCTTCTTCTTCTTCTTCTTCTTCTGATTATTTATTACCTATACATTGTTCTGCCTGCATTACATGCCAGAAGAGGGCACCAGATCTCATTACTGATGGTTGTGAGCCACTGTGTGGTTGCTGAGAATTGAACTTGGGACCTCAGGAAGAGCAGCCAGCGCTCTTAACCTCTGAGCCATCTCTCCAGCCCACATGCTGTCTTCTTATATTGTTGAAAATAGGGAACTAGCAATTAATAAATTTTGGGGCTGGAGGTGGAGATCAATGGTAGAACTCTTGCCTAGCATGTATGAGATCCTGGGTTTCATTCACTATACTTCCCACTTGCACAAATGTGATATATATATTTTCCACAGTGTGTGTGTGTGTGTGTGTGTGTGTGTTATTGGTGAGAATGGTATAGACAAGAAATGGGTGATAGCCAGGCATTGGTGGCGCACGCCTTTAATCCCAGCACTTGGGAGGGAGAGGCAGGTAGATCTCTGAGTTCAAGGCCAGCCTTGTCTACAGAGTGAGTCCCAGGACAGCCAGGGTTACACAGAGAAACCCTGTCTCAAAAAACTAAAACAGAACCAAAGAAATTGGCGATGATGGTACAGACAAGAAAAAGCAGAGTGAGGGAGGTGGAAGCAACTGCAATTTTAATTAGGATGGACAGTGTGAACTTCACCCAGTTGTGTAAAACCTGGGGGGAGATGGAGAAACACACTATGTGGATATCTAGGGTAACAGTGTTCCATGCAGAGAGACCAGCCAGTCAGAGGTGGAATAAGCCTACTATGTTTGGTGAACTATCCAGAGGCCACCAGTGTGACTGGAGTAGAATGAATGCAAGATGGTGAGAACAGAGGAGAGAGGGAGATGAGTCTTCAAATCTTTCTGCGTCCCAATCCTTGCATCTGTAATAGGAAGATGATAACAGTACCCACCTTATAGAATAGCTAACAAAGATAAGTACATGTGTGCCCAACCTAGGTAGCTGGCAGCTGCAGCCTGTTCCGACCAAGTCTAGAATCAGGTTAAATGAGGGAAAGCGGTTGCCAGACATCTCCGCCTACTGGCTGCAGCTGTTGCCGCCTGGGGTGTCGCCCATCCACGCTGCAGCCACGTGAGCCACAAGTCCTGGAGCCCAACAGGCACTCAGAGTCCTTTGCTTGTGATGTAGGCTGTCACCGTTCTTTCTGCCGCCTTCCTCGTGCTAAAGTTATGCCTGCTTGCCAGAGCTGAATGGCCTCCTAGTTTTGCACCATGAAGCTGCCAGAAGTTGTAAAAAAAAAGGGGTGGGGTGGGGTGGGGGGATCGTAGTGGGGGAGGAATCAAGCAGGAGACCCAAATGTTTGTAATTGTCTTCTCCGTTCTTTTTGCCATCTGGTCCATCTTCCCATCACCACAGCCGGAGGGTTCTAAGGAGGGGATAATTAAAACCCTTAGAGAACCCACGTGTGGTGACACTTACTGGTAAACTGAGGCTGAGGTGAGACAGGAGGACAGAGTTCTGGGCCAGTCTGTTTACAATAGTGAGTCTTCTGAAACTGGCCTCAAAATAGTAAAAACAAAATCATTGGGTGGTTCCTAGCTCCCCAGAGCACAGACTTGATTCAGGAGCTGTTGGCCACTCCATGAATCCTCTCTTCCCCGATTCCATATGGCTCCAGCCATACCCACAGATCATCCAGGCTGTTCTTTATCCGGTCCCAGTTTCCTTGCCTGGCCATGTTCGGCTCACCCTGCACCTTGCTTTCTCATAACCTCCTGTGAAGTCTCTAGCACAGCTACCACACTGTTTTCTTCCTCAGAGTAGAGGCTATTATTATTCCATAAGCACCCTACTTCCCTTGTGGGGCAGAAAAGCCACCCAGTCATGTTAACTTGCAGGCAGGTAGAAATAGTAACGCTCGTGCTAATTCTACACCTAGCACTGTTCTAGGAAGCTTGGACAT